GTTACAGTGAGACAATTTAATTTTTTCACAAGTTTTCGATATTACCTAGAATCATATAATAATGCACCTTGATCTTCTACTAATTTCATATTAGGATCCATAGGAGTATCCACAGGTCGGCAACCTAACATTCCAACTTCACTCAGCATATCGAGTACATATTTTCTTTGACATAAATAAATCTCATATTTAGATCGAGCTACCTCAATACCCAGAAAATACGGTAAATGATCTAAATCCTTTGTCTGAAAGTTTGCCTGCAGATTGGATTTAAGTTTCTGGATCCTCACAATATCATCACCTGTAATCACAATATCATCCACATAAACAACTAATAAAATTTTACCAATATTAGAATGCCGATAAAATACAGAGTGATCTGCTCCACATCTTGTCAGACCGAACTCCATGACAACACTATTAAATCGACCAAACCAATCCCTAGGAGATTGTTTCAATCCATATAAGGATTTTTTCAGACGACAGACTAATCGCGAATTCTCCCCCTGAACAACAAAGCCAGGAGGTTGTTCCATATATACCTCTTGGTCCAAATCTCTATGTAAAAATGTATTTTTTTACATCCAACTGATGCAATGGCCAATTATAAGTTACTGTCAAAGAGATAAGAAGACGAATTGAGATAATCTTTGCAACAGAAGAAAATATTTCTAAGTAATCTATTCCATACACCTGAGTAAATTCTTTAGCTACCAGACGAGCTTTCAATCGATCAATAGAACCATTAGACTGTACTTTTATAGTGTACACCCATTTACAACCAACAACAGGCTTACCAGAGGAAAGAGGGACAAGATCCCAAGTACCATTTTGTTCCAAAGCAGACATCTCTTCTTGCATAACTAATCTTCAACCAGAATGATTAAGAGCATGCATAATAGACTTAGGAATGGAGACAGAATCAAGTGAAACAACAAAAGAAAAATATGACATAGAGAGACGAAAATAAGAAACAAAATTAGAAATATGATGAGAAGTACAATGCCTCTTACCTTTACGTAAAGCAATAGGAAGATCTAACTTAGAGGAGGGCGTCATGCCTGGATTTGAAGATTGAGAGTTAATTGGTGAAGTGCGTGGCATATCAGGAGCTTTCTCAACCATGGAACGACGAGAATAAACTTAAAAATTAGGACGAGATAATCGAGCTATGGAATCTGGTGGACTAAATAACTCAGGTAATAAAGAGAAAGAGACTGGTAAAATAGGAGAGGAAGAAGAGGGACACTGGTTTAACTCACAAGGCATACCGTGTGTCACAAAATATGGAGTAGATTTAAAGAAAACAACATCAACACAAGTAAAAAATCGATTTAAAATTGGATTGTAACATCTATACCCTTTTTGCGTTCATGCGTATACTAAGAAAATACACTTAATAGTACGATGATCTAATTTATCCACCCCAAAAGCAAGTTAATGAACAAAACACACATATCAAAAAATACGAGAAGGTAATTTAAACACAGGTTCATGAGAAAACAGAATGGAGTGAGGTAATTGACCTCCAAAAATATTAGATGGCATGCGATTAATTAAATAACATGCAGTTAGAACTGCATCACTTCAAAATTATTTGGGCACATTTATGTGCAACAAAAGTATTCGAGCAACCTTGATTAAATGTCCAATTTTTCTTTCAACAACTCCATTCTGTTGTGGAGTGTGAGAACAAGAGAACTGATGAATAATATCGGACATAGTCATAAAGATATTAAAAGGAGTAGAAAAATATTCTTTCACGTTATCACTGCGAAATATATGTATAGGCACACCAAATTGATTCTTTATTTCTGTAATAAATACACAAAAAATGGAATATAGTTCTGAACAATCTTTCATTAAATAAATTCATGTAACTCTGAAAAAATCATCAATAAAGATTATAAAATATTTAAAATCTAACTTTGAAGTGACTCGATTAGAACCCTAATATCAGAATGAACTAACAAAAAGGGTTCAGAAACCCGTTTATTGATTCTAGGAGCAAAAGAAACAAATGATGTTTTCTTAACTGACAAGACTCACATTCTAAAGAAGACAACTGATTCAAAGTAGGAACCAACTTTTTTAAATTTTGTAAAGACGGATGACCCAAACGACAGTGAATTTCAAGAGGAGAAACAGTAGCAGAACATGCAATCGGACCATTGGAGTTGAGAAAATAAAGACTATTATGCTCATGCCCTCCACTAATCATCTTCTTTGTCTTCAAATCCTGAATGACAGCAAAATCAGAAAAAAAAGTAACTGAACACTGTAGAGATTTAGTGAGTTTACTAATAGACATTAGATTAAAGGGCAAATTGAGTACGTAAAGAACAAAAGACATCGGAAGAGATGGATTAATTTCTACAGTGCCTAGTCCTTTAACTTTAGTGATAGATCCATCAGTTAAAGTAACATGAGAAAAGGAAATAGACTCTTGAAAATTAGAAAAGTTTTTAGAGGTACCTGACATATGATCAGTAGCTTCGGAATCAATAATCCATGAGTTAAAATTAAAGGATGTGGAGAAATAAGCCATAGCATTACCTTTTTGTGCTAAAGAAGTAGAGGGAAGAGATGCGTGATTTGTAGTTTGGTACTGTAGGAATTTAATATAATCTTTTTCGGATATAGTAAAAGTCTTCTGGGACACATGTGCTGAAGAACTTGATTCAGTTTGGTCAGTGATAATCGCATTAGCAAAATTTTTAGCCATAACGAATAGCACTTCAAACAAAAAAGCAGTCAAAATTTGCGATGAACAATATCTTTGAACAGTAACGCGTGAACAGTACCCCCCCGATGAACAGTATCGCATGAACAGCACGCGATAACCAATATCACGTGAACAAGACTTTTGTTAGATGTTTAATCCTAACCCTAGGACTTTTACTCTGATTCCATGAGAATAGACATTTTGGGAGGAAAACATCTAGTCACTGTATTATGCGTGACCAACTAGTATTTATAGGAGTACAAATCTAACAAACTATTTACAAGAATACCCTTACTAATTTATTATCTATAAAAATACTTATATTCTCTTAACAACCACAAATGAAGTATAGTACTTTCCCAGCAATTCTATGAATGCCAAGTACCACACAGAAGTTTGAACCACTACAAAATAGTCAAGCCAAGCAATTCTGCATTGCTGCAGCACCAATGTCCACCAACCATTATTAGCACTGATAGGCAGCATTTCTATGTGGTTATCCCAGGATTATATACTTGCTAATTATCTGCTGATGTGTGGAGCATGATTGGTGGAATGATGATGAAGTATCACTTGAAATTTGCTTTTTTACCCAAATTTTCATTGGAAGACTTCATTGCTATATTGTGTGTACTTAGTTTAGGAGATTTAAGATGATTCTGTGATTCATCTGAATGCCTTTGTTGCATGTCCTCGTGTAGGGTTAATTTGATACTTAATTACTTGACTGCAGGAATTGATTAGTATTCAAGTTTGAACCTTGACCAAGTGGTTGATAAGATGACTACTCATGTTCTTCCTAATAATAATTTTAGTTAGATTTGTTTAATAAATTCTGAATATAATCATTTTAATGAGTTTATAACCGTTGTTTTGCTAATATTACATGCTTTGTTTAACTTTTGATTTAAACTGATTTAAGAAGATCTTGGGCACTCTCGTGCACAACACAAGGGCCAAAAAAACTAGTAGCATATAATGTACCAAAGAACCCAAGAAATAGGCTTCCGTTACTTATTTAGGAGGGAGAGGTAAAGCCTTGAAAAGCGTCAATGAGAGGAATCTATTTGTGTCCTCTCTTCATTCTCTATAGTGTTCGTGGCAGAAATGGAAGAAATCAAACACAGGAAAACGAAGAAGTAAGCTCGCTTCTTATTGGGTTATTGGGCGAGAGGGATGAATTGGATAATAAAGGATGAGGGAATGTAAGTAAGAACTTTCAGTTCAAAATCTTTCATTGCCTTTCTTTTTTATCATTTTGATAGAGGGGACGAAGAATGTGGACGAAACAATCTTTGCAAGTGTTTGTTCCGTGCCGATTGTTCCGTGCCGAACAGGCGATCACCCACCAATTAATGACTTTTTTGACGATCGATCTTAGTTCTGAACTTATTAGTACAAGTCCAAAACGCACCCAAACAGTTGTAAAAACAAAACCAAATATATCAATTAAATCTTCTCAAGAAGCATGGAGGGAAATATGTTGATTGCGGCTTTGAAATCAAAACACGATTTCAAACAATATTTGAGATCAAAATGTGTTTGGATAGTTAAATTTTTTCAAATAATATTTCGCTTATATCATAAACATATTTTTCAATCAACATTTTTATATTCTTAAATATCTTTTTATTTTACATATATCACATCACAAAAGATACTATAGTAATTATTTCAAATATTTCAAATAAAACTCTATCCAAACACAATTATGTAAAACAATAAACAATTATTAATACCCAAAATTCATGTCAATGACTTGCACTGTTCATAAGTCCCGTTCAAGCGTCCATGGCTTTATCCTATTCATTTTTGCACTTATTTTCCAATGTCTTTGCAATCTACAATTGTTTTTTTTTTTTTATAGTTGCAAGTCGTACCAATCATTAATCACCTTTGGTTTTTGCACATTACTAATTACAATTCCAATATTTACAATTTGTTTAACGGAGCATTTTCTATATTTCGTTAAATTTATACAAAAAAATTTCTAACCAATTTTGAGATTATCAAGCATTTCTAATCGGAAATAATTTTAAGGAAGCCGTAAAAGATCATTATTTCATTGCAATTGACATAAGAGTTAATTATAACTCCAACAAATAACCAATAAGTGTTTAAATTTTATTGTTAATGTGAGAGTTGTATTGGTGAACGATATAAACCACCTACAGTCTCGAAAACATACTCTAATCGATGGCGTTGGCTGGAATTAATTCACTCAAACTTTTTATCTATAAAAAATAAAACTAAACAAAGGGATACAAGGTACATATCCGATAAAATTGGAACAATACAAATTGGAATGATACAAAGAAGATGAGCATGGCCCTGTGTAAGGATGACATGCACCAAATCGAGAGATAGATATCCAACGACCAAAATTGTAATTTTACCTACAAAATAGCAAAAATGAGATTGAGACTTGAGAGGACATAAGTGTAACAGTGGGCAAAGCAAGGTGCATATTGAAATATAGGTGCATCAATCCCAAAAAATAATGTAGAAAAAAGGGGGAAAGAGGAAGACTTGAAAATACCAAGCTCGGGAATCTGGAATCTCCCTCTTGCATCGTCTGTCGACTGAAGATTTAGCTAGATTTCCAGGTCCTGAAGAATCAGGTGACCTTGTCTGCTAGTTTTTTTTAGTCTTCTTCTGTTATCCCCGCTGCTACCACTAGTATTTGTTTATCTTTGAAGATTCTGTTCTGCTATACATGAATTTCACCTTGACATGAATGGGAGATTCTATGAATCTTGGGCATGGTTTCTGTAACATTAGCTGGGAGAATTTAAATAGATTCACATTAATTACATAATCATGTGATTGAAACCTTCATACAAGATTCTGTTGATCTTTTGCTGTCCGTGGGTAGGAAATTCTTTTTCTGGTATCTTGAAAGTTGAGGTTTTTGTGGTTGTTATCTTTTGTTGTCGGCAAATGATCAATTTTCCAACTGGGTTTTGCTTATCTTAGCTTGATAGACCATGATTCGGTCGTTTCAGATATAGAGGTCAAGTAGACTACATAAATCTGTTTGGAACTATAATGTTGGAAATATCTTAAAATGCTAGTGTTTAGTTGGGAAAAGGAAAAAATGTTTGTATTATATTCAATTTCCATTTGCTTTCATTGCATTATGAATTGGGAGATGCACTTCAAACAAAACCGAGCACTCCTTGTGTGTTGTGCTTCAACACTTTTACCTCCTCTGTGCCATCTGAGCTCTCGATGAGCACGGCATATAAAATGTTTCATTCTCTTGATTATCTTTTTATTTTTTGGGATTTTTAAAATTTTTCATGCAGTTAATTTTCAGTGTTAACCACCCCCCCAACACAAATCCCCAAAAAAAAATTTTTCCTCCTTTTTTGTTTCAAGTATTAAATTTTTTGGTTGTTTTATACTCTTGGCTAGCAAATTGTAGCTGTAGAGGAAACAGCTTCACAGCCGGTTTGGTTCACTTCAATGAACGTATAAGGGTCCTCGGTTATATATTTGTCTTGTCAATAGATATGTTAGTTATGTGTACCAGGAAACATTTTGCATTTGTGCTTTCACAGCTTGTAGACCTAATCAGGAAAAGGCAATGTCTGCAGAAGAAAACTTGATGGTGTGATGATTGGTGATAAACTAGATCTCTGTTGTGCCCTATGCATTCATGAATATTTCATTTTGGAAGTCCTAAGTGGTGGTTTATATTAGTTATGCAATTAATTGAAAATTACAAATATTTTCTACACTTCAAAGTGTTCTTTAGTTCCATATGTTAATTTCTGGAAAGGGATTTCTTTTCCTTTCTTTGTGTCCATAAGCTTAATTGTGGCAAATTACTTACTGCTGTTCATGTTAGACGCAAGTTAGTTTTGTCCTGGTTACTTATAAATTATCTGCTTTGTATCTCACTGTGATTTTAGTTTGTGCCATGGAAATTGTACTGAAGTTTAGATCTGTCTTCTCTAGTATCTAAACAAGATGAGAGAAGCCATAAAGAAGCTTTGATTTCTGAATAGAAAAAATTTATGCATCTTCAATTAATTGTTTATTTTGTGGTGTTTTATTGATGTAAAATGGAAGCTTGTTTGGTAACATAAAAGATTCATTCAATTGCAAATTTTCTTTCATGACTTGTTAGAGAAATTTTGTGATATCTTTTAATGAAAATCTTGGGTGAAGCAATTCTGATTATTTGTTGAGAAAAAGAAAAAGTAAGTGTAAGGTGTTTGTTAAATGCACCGTGCATATGAAATGGACTCTTAGCTAGTGTTATGAGCAATTAACAGGCGTAAAGATAGGTCTGTGAAAGACTAAAATTTGCACTCATCAGTTTTCTCACATAGAGACACTGTACAATCCCGATCAAGGATTGTATACGACATGAGCTACTGGCTCTAGCATAACCCATGCTAAAAATCATCTTTTACAAAGTGACATTGAGATGATTGAAGTAGCAATAGTCTCCGGTTTCATTCGGTCGATCCTCATAATAATCAAAATCTAGTTCTAATTTGGTTCTGTTTATCTGCTTATTTGGCTTAGACATTCACCACCCTCCTTCACTATATAGCCCAAGGCTCAATTGTTCTACGTATGCATGCTTCAAACGCAAAAAGAAGAGTTGCTTGACTTGAATTCGCCATCACTGTTCCTCTTGTTTTTTCTAAAGCCAAAGTTTATGTTCCTTAGGTATCTGGTGTACTGAGTTGAATCATTTATATTCATACTGCGCATCGACTGCACACTATATTCTTTGGTGTTGGATACAGTATGTGGAAGGCAGTTCATGAGAATGTCTTGAAAGATGATTTTTTGGTGGATGACGAAGGTCTCCAGTCAGATGAGCATCATTTGAATTTTCATGATCAGGAATGCATTGGGAAGATAAAGGAGTTGCAGTTTTATCTGGACACGGTATGAATACTGTATTCCAGTAAGGGTCTTAATTTTTCCATTCAGTATGTGGAGTATTCACCCAATCCTTGTAATTCTGCGGTGATCTGCTCCTCTCAAATGAATGCCATGTTTACAAAGGTGCAGTTTTATGTGCATTAATATCCAACTATATCCTCCAATTCCGGTCACAACAGACTTTTGGTCATTTATGATGATGGAATGAACAAGAAAGTAGGGTCAAGATGATCTTAATTCAGAACTAGGAATCATATCAATCCATATTGAATTCTGTGGAAGGCTTGAAGCAAATTATGTTTTACGTCTTTGCTATCATATCTGAATCTTAGTCTAGCAAGTTTTCTTGTCACAGGTGGAAAAAGTTGTGAAACCAGGTTGCTCACAAGAATTGCTGAATGTGGCCTTGACTTCCTTATCCTCTCTTGTAAAAACCTTATCCATTATATCTTCTGGACCCTGTCTGCTTGCCTCACTATGAACAAAATAATCAGAAGATCTGATGATGCAGTTTAATTTCAGAAACTTTGAAATGTTGTTTGGGTGTCTATTTCTTCTCTCACGTCATCTCCAGGTGGGTGACAAGATACATAAATCGTGTATAGCAGGTATTCCCTTACTGTTGTTTAGTCATTCTCAGATAACACTAGTGTATTTGTTTCTGTACTTATAAAGCATGGGAAAGAACTCTAAACCTATGAAAGAACACTAACGTTCATTGTATCATCAATTCCTGGAAAAAAAAAAATTCTCTGCTCCCTATTGTTTAACCTCTGATCTACATTTTGAGTTGTATTGGGAAAATTAAAGTGGAGATCTCTCTATCAAAACTAATCTATAGTCCTCAAAACGTAGAATGTCAGTATTACACTTTCAGGAAAAGAAAAAGAAAAAGAAAAGGGATGGCGTATTACAAGTATAGCCAGCTATTACCTGACAGTGTTAATACTAGAAATATCTACATGTATTTGAATTTTTTTTTGGTTAAGCCTGAAAAGCAAGATTTTTCAGATAATTAGAAACAAGAGATTTTATGAATGATTAAAATATTGAGACAGACATACCAAGATGCATTTTCGGAAAACTTTATCATATAGGTTAGTTAAAATCTAAGCCTCATTTCAGAATTCCATGATTGTTATCGCATATGAGACCTCAAGGAAATTGAAGTTTTGATTCAATGGAAGATGGTTGGGATATTGGGTCATCACAATTAAGACTGCCTAGCTAAAAGGATACAGATGGAGTCAGAGAACTTTGTTAGTCAATACTTTTCTAACTTCCTTTCTAGCTAGTGTTTTTGTAGAATGAATTGAACATAAACTGCTTGAGAATCAGAAATTCAAGTTTTTCTTATGGATGATTCAATTAGGGAAAAGTTGTCGATACACATATTCAAAAATCTTTTTTGTTTAAGATTAGTTAAATCTAAAGCTCATTCAAGAGACATCAGATAAGAAAAGTTTCAAGAAGTTTCTAAAACTGAAAGTTCACCATCATATTCATATCAACTTCCTGTGCCCTTTCCTGTTCATTGATCACATTATTGCGTGAAACACCGAGAACTGTGAAGTTAAATATACATGTTCCTCCTATTCCCTCCAGATGATACATTTCTGGAGGAGCACCGCGTAAAGCTGAGGCGAAAACAATGTCACCATTCCTTTTTCCGCTTGCACATGAAATCTCATTTGTCAAGTGTAGGACAGCCTTGTTTGTCAACTCTAGCACCAGTTTTCTGGAATAAGGTTTGCAGGTTAGTCGGTTCATCTGGTCTTCTGAGCATCATGGGAATAATGTAGTCAAGAAGCACAAGATTTCTCAAGATAGTCTCAGTTTCATCGATCCTAGGACAGCCTTCTTGGTTCTTTGTCAACTGTGGCACCGGTTGTCAGGAACAAAGTTGGCAGGCTGGTGGGTTACCCTAGTCTTGTAAACATCATGATACTAAGTAGCCAAGAAGCGCAAGGTTTCTCAGAGATAGATTCATTAACTGGTTTACTGGCTAGATCTCCAATTTAATCATTTGGCAAGGCAAGATCAGTAATGCCTCTTTTGCTAATGATTTCTTCTATCACATTTGTCTTCATCAGAAGGTACATTGAAGGTACGTACTTAAATTTGGGTCTCCCTCAAGAATGGTTGTGATATTACATTTTTGTCAGGTCATTCCTGGGGATGAATATAGCCATCGTTGTGGAGTCTTTTGAGTTGGAGAGCTTTGTTTTCTATCTTCTGAAAATGATAAAGATTGAACATACCCACTCAGAACATGAGAATAGGACCCGAACAAGTGGAGGAGTTCTTTCAGGTTTCAACCAATGTCCAAGTCCAAGCAGTCTATCCCCTTCTTTAATAACCATTTGTAGAATCCAGGGTGACACAATTTTTTGACCCGAATAAGAATATTTGAGGTTGAATCTGAAAGAGTTTGTTTGCAGTTTACCAAAACCCTATGCAACTGTAAAAGTAGCGTTGAAAACGCAAAAGTGTAATTAAATTGCATTAGACCTCCACGAACTTTGGAGAAAGTTGTACTTTGCTCCCCTCAACTTTCTGACTTTACCCCCATTTAATAACATTCCTTGACTAGAATTCCATCATACTCTGGCTTTTTACTGTTTTTACGTCTAAGATTTCTATGTCTACTTTTCTTTTTCTTTTTTTTTTGCTTCTATTTCTTTTCTTTTTCATACTAAAGATATTTACATTTACTTGCTCTTTTGCATTTTCCTTTCCTTTTTTGCATCAGACACAGCGCCAAACATTATTTAGTACAAAGTTGCATATTGAATATCTGTTGCCAAGATGTGGGACTACTGTAAAATATGATAGTTTCATGTATTTGTGATTTCATTGCATATGTAAGTTTAGATAACGCTGAAGGTGGAAATAATACAAATGTAATGATCATTTTGCGTTATCTAAAAGTTTAGATAAGAGTTAATTTATGATCATTCTGAAAAGCTACTTTGGTCATATAATATTTTTTTTTCTAAAAAAGAAAAATTTATAAATATATTTATAGAATGAATTGGAAATGTTCTCTTTAAGTAATGGAATGCCACTTAGCAACACAATTTTCAGAAGACTTCATGACTTAAGATTGAGGGATTTGAATTCAATGAGGACTTTGATATCGATGCAGCATTTGAAATGAGTAAATTTAAAATTCATGTCTAGTCCAAATACATTATTATGTTTCGCTAAAGGTTGTTATATGATGAAAGAAATTGACATTTGATATTAACATGGGGCAAAAACTAAACAATAAAAATGTTTAGGGGTTGAAGTTGAATTTTCCATTCTTCGTTTTCTTCTCCAATCGAAGGTTTGAAGCCATAATGCTATGCTATAGAGGCATCACTTCGGTTTCTGTAACTATTTTCCGATTAATTCACCGGCCAACTGCTCCTTCTTCCGGTGCACAGATTTACATAAACTGGGTTTTCTTTTTTCTCAACCGGATGCTACGAACACCAACAGGTAGTTTTGATCCATTCTTCGGTTCACGCTTCGAAAAAATGAAACATTTTCAGAAAGAGATAAAAAAAAAGTTGTTCGGAGGAATTTGAAATGACGTGTGTTTTGAGTGAATTCCATCGCTTTGAGCTACAAAAATTTCGATGAATTTCAAATCCAAATCCTTTTAAGGTTATCCAAACAGCCAAGAGATTTGAGCGAAGGGATTGAATTGAAATCAAATCCATCCAAATTCCCCCATCCAAACACACAGTTGCAGATAGTTTATATTTTTAGAAGTATCGAAAATTCTTTTGTCAGTGAGGACTGAGATTTGCTGTAGAAGTAGCCAAAATTCTTTTTACGGATCATTTATGTATATTCTTCACTCTTATTCAAAAGGGACTAGGATTTGCTTACAATTTCAGTACCCCGACCAACAAAGGTCCATCAGTTTTTTTTTTTTTAGATTGTTTATTCACACTTGTTAATTTCTCCAACTTTGTGTTTTTTGTACTTGATCAAGAAGATGTTTATCAATAACCCTAAACCATTGGAAGGGCTACCCCAAGAAGAAAGGTTCCCCGTCGTTTTGGAAGAAGTTTTTCAGCGGAAGGAGCAAGAATTCAACTGATGGCAACACCATCATGTCCAGTGGATCCTTCTACATACCGAGGGATAATCCATTACGGGCTCAAGGAGAAGATGCTAACTTTGTTTTGCCAAGACGGCAGACTTTTGGAGTTGCTGATGGGGTCGGGAGTTGGGCTGGAAAGGGTATTGATTCCGGTGAAGAATATTCAAGAAAACTAATGCCTAGCACAATTTTTGCCATCATGAACCAAAAGCACCCCATTAATCCAAGAAAGGCTTTGAACGAAGCTTTCTACAAAACCAATGCCAAAGGTACATCTACAGCTAGTGTTGTAACAAATTGCAGGCGATAAATGTGGGAGACAGCGGATTTGTTCACATTAAGAGGTGGAAAAATCTCCTACAAATCGCCCGTGCAGCAGCATAGATTTAATGTTCCGTATCAATTAGGAAGCGGGTTGTATGATATACGCTTAGCTGAGGAGATTAAGAGGGATGTGGAACCAGAAGATGTTATTGTTGCAGGAACAGATGGATTGTTTGATAACGTGCATGATGGAGAACTTGAAGAGCTGGTGAGAAAAGGGAAGCAAGATCATGACTTGCCGAGTCTTTTGGCCATGAAAATTGCTGAGTTTGCTTTAGGGAAGTCTTTTAAGTAAATCGGCAATTACTCCTTTTGCAGTGGAAAGCCAAAAGGCTGGAAACGCTGGGCGTACTGGCGGCAAGATTGGTGATATAATTAACTGTGGTTGTTGCTGACATTCATCAGCCACTAAGCTAACCGGAGGATGATTTTTGTCTGTGTTTGTGTGGAAAAGCATTAATTATTCCACTTTGATCTGAAACGTTTTTGTGTTGAATTAGGATTGAATTCGGTAAAATAAATAGGAATGTAAATTTAACCCTTAGGGTTTATGTTACTGTGTTGATTGTGAGGAGATGTATACACGCAACTGAATATAAGATGATCCAACGTGAACAAATATTTACTTGTATGAGTTCTTATTGCAACATGAGACAAGGATCTAAGTAAACTTTTTTATATTTGTCGTGTATATAAAATTGATCCTAAAGAAAATACAGAATCAAACGTAGGCTTAATCATCTGGAATGTGGATTTTCGCATGAAACAAATGAAAGTTGCTAGTATTCTTTTATGCTGCATGCCATAATTAACCATTTCTGTCTTCTTGACTCCTAGAACTTCAGAAAGCAATATCCTTACACTATAGGAAACTCTCATACCAAAAGACTCTTGTAAATGAATTAAAACAAGGGGTTTGGCTATTTAGTGTCCTTCGAAAAGCAAATAAGAAATGAGTCCGGTGTTATTTTATATGCAATGAGTAAATTCTTTTCGAAATAAGTGTTGCTATTATTTTATATTTTTAAAGGTCTGATAATGGTTCACCTTCTTTTTTCTGTGTTAGGTGTCCCGAAAACGATAAAATGAATGTTAATAGTTAATACTTGGATAACTTAGGGGTTATTTCCTTTTCCTGGCTACGTTAGGAATTTTGGAAAAAGAATATTTTCTTCTACAAGCTGGGGTAAACCAAAGTCCTTGTATAATTAGGAGATATAAATACAGGATATTTGTTTGGTTGATTGTCCTTGATTTATTTTCTTTGATCTACTTGATTCGCTTTCTTTATTCCCTCTACTTCATAGCTCACGGCATCATGATGGCTAGGGTACAAAGGAAGATGTCAGGCGGGACGGCTTTCCAAAATGAAAAACTTTGTTCCGGCACGTTAAAGTTTGTAGCCGGATCAATGTACATACCCAAAGATGATCCAGAGAAGCCCCAAGGCCAAGATGATCACTTCATACTGCCAAAGTTGCAGGCTCTTGGGGTGGCTGATGGGGTTGGTGGATGGTCCAAGAAAGGCATCGATTCTGGAGAATATTCAAGAGAACTAATGAAGAACACCGTTAAATACATCGAACAACAAAGTCAGGTTGGTCCGGTTGATCCTAAAAGGGCTTTACATCAAGCTGTCGCGAAAGCTAAAGCAAAAGGGTCATCCACGGCTTGCATCCTGGCCTTGCATAATGATTGTTTGCACGCTGTGAATGTTGGAGACAGTGGATTTGTCCATATCAGGAATGGACGAATTATTTACCGGTCGCGAATTCAGCAGCATGAGTTTAATTGTCCCTACCAGCTAGGAAAGGAGAGGAATGATCTGGATGTAGCTGAGGAGATCAAAAGGGATGTCGTTCCTGGAGACATAATCGTTGCAGGGACGGATGGATTGTTTGATAACGTGCATAATGAAGAACTTGAGCAGTTGGTCAGGGAAGGAGAGAGAAATTTCGACAGTTCAGAGATTTTGGCTTGCAAGATAGCAGATTTCGCTCTTCAACAGGCTGAGAACAATTTGGCTGTTACTCCTTTTGCAGTTGAGAGTGAAAAGGCTGGAAAAATTGGGTGGATTGGAGGCAAGAATGATGATATTACTGTGATTGTAGCCCGTGTTTTTCCAGCGCAATGGGTATAGATACTGGCAGTTCTCCATTGTTGCATATAGTATATGTTTGTAAGAATTCTCTTCTACATACATCTATCAAGGATTAATGTTCAATCCGATTCGATCAGAACTTTTTTCCTGTCAATTACTGGCTTAGATGATTCATTCAGGAAAGATCAATGTTACACAAAAAACTAGGGTCATCTGCCCTAATGGAATGGAGAGGCAAGACTTTATCTTTTTATTTCATTTATTTATGTTCCCATTTATGTTCTCCTTCTGTCCTATTTTATCCTGGATGGTAGTATAGATTCGAGGCATAAGCTCTTGATTTTAGGTAGCCCATAAGTTTTTTAGCAGAACTGAAAATGAGTAAATCTTATATACACTTTCACAGTATACATATTATCACGATTAAATTCATGACATACATGCAAATTTTGGATTTCAAATTTAAATTCGAATTATATGTCATACATGCATTAATCCATTAAAAAAATTAGGCTTACGAGTTTTTTTTTTTAATAATTTCAATATGTCTCATATTTGCACCAATAAATTTTGTGAAATTTCCATTTACTGGCATATTGGCCTTGCAAATTTTTGTTTTAAAAAATTGACTATTGTATTTGAAAAGTAAAAATCACAACTTGAATATATAAGAATTTAAAGAATTTTGAAACTAAGCGCAACAAGATAAATATAAGCTTTCCTGAGCAATTGATTTCTAAACAAGAGAAGAGACCTGGGGAAGAAAATTATTGCTGGATTATGTTCATAACTAGTAGTGTTATTATTATCACAATCTTCTTGACAAATTCGTGCAACGCAGGCGCACAACCCAATTAGCAGAAAAGTATGAATCATGATGATCAACTTAAAGTCATGATTGCCTATTAATTGCCTAAATCTTTATGATACTCTACATTTTGAAGTAGATGAAATATAACTTAGAGTACGTGATTTTAGCCAGTTATTATGGTCTACCAGTGAGAATTTGAGGTCATGTATGTTGACCAAATAATAGCTATAAAAAGTTAGATTTTTCTAATGATATCCTCATTATTGCACATAAATTCCACATAATATATATATATATATATATAGACACACACATACTAGACGCTTTTTCAAATTAACTTTTTTCACGTAAAATTTAACACTTAAAGTCTTTTTAGCACTCATTAAACACTTGTTAGCCATAGGACTGAAAGATGAACTAATTATTTGATATTCAAATCGAGTTCGACTTGGTAAGAATCCGTTCAAATTTGACTCATCAACTAGTCAAATCAAGAATGAATAACATTTTATATTCGATAACATTCAAATTTAATAAAAAAAACACTCATTCAAACTAAATTCGGTAAATAAACAAATAAATCTTGAACAAAATTTTAAATTCATTAAAATAATAGAACAAGTTTGAATATTAGGGTATTTATTTTGATTAACCTCGTTTACACCCCTACGTAGCGAAGCCCATTTATATACAATTGGATGAAATTTGTGGTGTAGGTAACAGGCTGAAACTATGTTTTATGGGCCCTTCTGTCTAATCGAATACCCAATTTATGGGCCAATTGTTGAATTTAATGGGTTCAAAAAGCTACCACAATGATGTGACTTGCGCGCTTGTTGATGAACCTATGATTTGGGCCACCCGGAGCTGCATTTTGGCATCAATAACAGTTAAGAAAACCACGTTTCATCCTTTTGTGTTTTACAAGAAGAAGAGAAACTTAAAAACTTAAAATCGTTTCATTTTTTTGGGATAATTAAATTTTTTTCTACGCTGTGGAGCCAAATTTCGTCCTAGATCCAGCCCAAAAGATAGTTCGATTTAGTAGGCTTCTTTTTTTTTTAAAGTATTTTTTTTCTAAACAGTGGAAGATTGGGAATTAAGAAGTTGGAACCTTTGACTCCTGAAACTCAACCTTAACCTCTAGATCAGGATGTCCATAATTTAGTAGATTTCACTATCATCAATTTGATTGGTAAATGGATCCTCCGTCAAATAGTTGTAGAAACTTCAAAAGAAAAAATGTTTTGCTTTGTAGAAAACACAAATTGCTACCTTAAACAGGGAAAAAAAAACCTTTGAAAACAAAAGCCCTGTTTAATAACTCAATTCAGCACTTAAATTTAATAGATTCAGATATAATATATTCATACTATTTAATAACCAAAAATTAAACATCTGAATTTCCTAGACAAAACTTGCTCCCAAAATTGAGTGATAAGATATTCACTTATCACTAAATGTAATATGCAACCAAATATATTAGATTTAATACTTAACAATTCAATTATTTAATGGATTTAAATTTCAGTTTTTACACTTCAATTTTATCAAACGCACCCAAAGTCTTAATATGGTATGTTGCTTATTGCTTTGGAACCTTATGATGATACACTTTAACTTGGCCATCAAATTCAACAGTGAAATTTGGAAGCTGCATTACCAAAATACTCCAGTAGGCAAGAAATATCAATGTGGTTAAATTTAATAACTGATCACGTAATTAGCTAGTGATGTCCCAAATCCATTTCCAAGCTTATAAAAATCAATAGGACTACTTGACATTGATAATCTACTTTGTAAAAGTTACCACTAACAAGTCACTAGTAGTATACTTATGTTCAAATCACGATGTTAACCTTCTTGCAATGTGTAATGATAAAAGAAAAGGGACATGTCAATTGTGACTGAAATGAGATAATGAAAAAATAGTAATCCTCGTGCTTCATAGGGGCAGTAATTAATAATATATACCATTTAACCTTGAGATCATATTTCTTTTGGTTAACATCTTTTTTGGAAGCTATGCCATTTTTAATACTTGACCCAAGAATGATACTTAAATTAACAATTTTCTTGTTTAAAATTTCTACATCGTACTAACAATGCGAAAAGTTTTTGAAGAATTGTTTGTTATTTATTAATACTTTAACATTTAGGCTTTGGTGCCATATATTCTATTTTAAGTACGTAACTCTTGTTCCTAGCAACTAAGATATCAAAATTTACTCTTTGTTGTTGGAAGATCTAAGTAAACAATTCACAACCATAATAATGATAAAAACATAGTTAAGGTAAACACTTTAATATGTGCTCATCAACAAATGATTATGGGAAGAATCATAATTTAAGCACTATGCTGTACAATCATATCAATCCTTCTCAACCAAATGATAAAGCAAAATTTTATCCAAATGGTACTCATTATAAAATTGCAAGGAATCCCTATGTTTTATTATATGTCGCATCTTTGTTTATTTAATGATTAAGGTGCTAGCACACGCCAACAGTGCATTCTCCACCTCTTACTTCATCTATGCAACTAAATATAATCCACGCATCTGTTAAATTGTTCGTGCAAACTTTATCGAGCTATTTTAATCTTGGACAAGATTGATTATGTTAAATCTCATTATTTCTCCATTAATCATCTATTCTTTTGTTATTAATTAATACATGCATACATATATATATATATATATATATATATATATATATATATATATATATATATATATATATATATATATATATATGTATGCCATAGAGACCCACTATTGCTTTAGCCAGTGAGGTTTTAGTCTAATGATTAAAATTGAAATTTCAAGAATTAGATGTCCGGATTCTCATCCCCTACTCCCTTCCAGTCTCTCAAATCCTATGTGTTGAGTCTGTCTTTGTATCCTACATCAGAAGTTTTACAAAGAATCTTTACTCTTGGTGGTTATAAATATAGTGGATTTACTTGAGTTTAAGTGTGCTAAAGCACCAATTCAAGTGCCGTATACACCAGTCTAAAAGAGTTTGACCACGCCCCAATTTGAAAGGAGTTTTGGTTAGGCAGGAAATCAAAAGAGCAAGTTGTGGCCTTTGGACCGTTAAGATTTTGTGTTATTTAGACTCTTTTGTGTTTTCAGTTTTACGTGCTTTTGAACCTCAAAATTTTTTCCAAGGGTTTTGTACTCTCTCTTTCGTATTCTTATAATAAATGTGCTACCCCTTCAATCGTGAGTTTTTGTGATAGTAACTTGTGGAATTTTTGTTATAGTAAATTTGCTATCCCTTCGCCTGTAGATATAGGTCAATACTCTTTTTTTGTTATAGTAAATTGTCTAGCCTTTCTCTTTTTGTTATAATAAATCCGCTACCCCTTTGCCTGTGGACATAAAATGAATCACTTAAAATTTTGTGTCTTTCTATTTATTTTATTTACTTTATTACTGTGTTTATTGGGTTGTCAAAAACCCTATTATTCTCGTTGATCAATTTTCTGGAATCAGCACTATCTATCCCCTTCTAATTTTTTTTTTTTTAAAAAAGACCCACTATTGCTCTATAATATGAAAATGAAGGTCCACAGCCAGCTGGTTGTTATCATTGCTTTCACATAGACAAAACCTTGGACTTGCCTGAAATCAGCCTAAGAGTTTGGTGGAACCAATATGTCTACTGCCCAATCTTTCAATAAAGACTAATACACATTAAAAAAATGTTTAGGTAGCAAACATGGTGGGGACCTCGGATTTAAGCATAGATTAGGGGGAAGTTAATCACCTTTGTGAGTCCGTAGACGCAGTTTTATTGGTGGATAGTGGCTCTGTTGTTGAGATGACCAAGAAAAGTTGCTAATTAATTTAAGAATAATGCTGAAAGGCGACAAACCCCCACCTCGAGTCATTAGCCTTCATCGGGGAGCTGAATTTTGCAAATGGGAGATGAAACAGATGGGATTGGTCTCATTTGCTCTAACTCATTATCAAATTTCAAAAGGAGTGGATCAATGCTTCAATAGCATGGCGATTTAATGAATGAGTCTTTAGAGACACTTAGGGAAAAAAAAAAAAAGAAGTTAAGTTGAGTAAACTAATTAGGTATACCAGTTTTGTAGTTGATTCATAAAGTACTTGCTTGCACCTTTGCCAATAGTATGTACATGTAAATATACCATGTATGTGTGTATGCATGTGGCCTTCTGTATATTGATATATGTAGGGAGGAGATATATATA